CTGAGAACAGAAGAACTTGGAGAGAACATAGTGTTACAGATACGCGAGAAAGCTAGGAACTTCTTGTGGTATTCTCTAGCGCTGGATGAGTCTACTCATCTCTCGAGTACGTCACAACTTCTCGTGTTCATTCGTGGTGTTAATTTGGCATCCGTTTGCTGTATGCACGGAACAACAACTGGAGAAGACATTTTCATGGAACTGCAGAAAACTTTGCAAGGCTATAACCTTCACTGGAATCAGCTTAGATTTGTTACAGTTGATGGAAGGAAAAAACATGGCTGGAGTGAGGAAGGGTCTGGTGGGGCAGATACGAACTAAGTTGGAAGATCTTCAACTCCCGGGCGCTCTGTTTATACACTGCATTATACATCAGCAAGCACTCTGTGGGAAAGACTTAGATATTTCTTGCGTACTGAAACCAGTTGTTTCTGCGGTGAACTTCAATCGGGGTCATGCACTTAATCACCGCCAGTTCCAGGCTTTTCTTGAAGAAATTGATTCTGAATTCTGTGACTTGCCTTATCACACAGCAGTGAGGTGGCTCAGCTGCGGTAAAGCCCTGTTTCGTTTTTATAAGCTCCGAAGAGAAATAGATATTTTTCTCACTGAAAAGGATAGAGCTGATCCACTTCTGTCAGATCCTACCTGGCTGTCAAAGTTGTCATTTTTGGTTGACATCACATCCCACATGAATGAATTGAACTTGAAACTTCAGAGAAAGGATAACCTTATCTGTGATCTCTACAGAATCATCAAAGGATTTCGGAGAAAGCTATCATTGTTTGAAGCACAACTGTAAGGAGGAAACTTCTCTCATTTTCAGTGTTTCAAAGAGTTTCGCGCTGGAATCGCAGAAGATGTCAACCTCGAGTCTCCGAAGAAGATTATTAGTGACTTAAATAAGCATTTTTTGGAGAGATTTTCAGATCTCGACAGAATTGAGAGCGGCATTCTTCTGTTCCAGAATCCGTTTGATTGTAACCTTGATGACGTGCCAGTCGAACTACAGTTGGAGCTCATTGATTTGCAAGCAAATGACTTGTTGAAAGAGAAGCACAGAGAAGGAAAACTTGTTAAATTTTATCGCTGCTTACCTGATGATGAGTTTTCAAAGTTGAAGATATTTGTCTCTGGTATG